ACCCGCCACCTTAGGTGTATGTGGCTGGAGCCTTAGCCACTTGAGCCACAGGTGCCGAGCCATTTTTACTCTTTTTTTTGATCAACAGAATTTAAGTGTACCATGGAAGTTTATAGGTTCAAGTGTGCTATGAGATTTTTAAAAAGGTTGAAAAACACTGGTCTAATAAAATACCATAGCCCTAAGGAAATTTTTTTTTCTAGTGTGGCAGTTAATGTGTTAAAATTCCATCTGGGACGGGGTGGGGTGCCTCACACCTATAATCCCAGCACTATGGAAGGCTGAGGTGGGTAGAATGCCTGAACTCAAGAGTTCAAAACCAGCCTGAGCAAGAGTGAGAACCATGTCTCTAAAAATAGCCAAGTGTTATATTCCGTGAGACTGTAGTCTCAGCTACTTGGAGGCTGAGGCAAGCAGATCACTTGAGCCCAGGAAGTTTGAGGTCGCTGTTGTGCTATGACACCAGGGTACTCTACCCAGGGTAATATAGTGAGACTCCTCTCAAATCTCAAGTTACCATCAAACTTAGCTGGTTCTAGGAGGAACAGAATCCAACCTACCCTAAAGGACTTCACATTGTTTAAAAAAAGAAAAGTTCTTTTTTGGTCCCAGGAAGCTTCTCCTTAAAGAGACAGTCTTGGTTGGGCACCCATAGTTCAGTGGTTAGGGTGATGGCCACATGCTCCAGGGCTGGAAGGTTCGAACCTGGCCCAGGCCTGCTAAACAACAACAAAATAGCCACGCATGTGGCGGGTATCTGTAGTCCCAGCTATTAGTGAGGCTGAGGCAAGAGAACTACGTGAGCCCAAGAGTTTGAGGTGGTTGTGAGGTATCACACCATGGCACTCTACCAAGGGTGACAAAAAAGTGTCTTGCTTTGTCACCTATTGACAATCATACAGTGGCATAGTACAGTGGCATAGTCATAGCTTACTGTGGCCTTGAACTCCTGGGCTCAAGCAATCCTCCTGCCTCAGTTTCCTGAGTAGCTAGGACTAACAAGCATGTGCCACCATCCCTGATTTTTCTTACTTTTAAGCAAGACAGGGTCTTGCTACTTTTTTTTGACAGTCTCATTCTGTCGCCCTAGGTAGAGGACCCTGGTGTCACAGCAACCTCAAACTTGGGCTCAAATGATCCTCCTGCCTCAGCCTCCTGAGTAGCTATAGGCACCCACTACAATACCTAGCTAGTTTTTCTATTTTTAGTAGAGAAGGGGTCCTGCTCTTGCCCAGGCTGTTCTCAAACTCCTGGGTTACCTAGTATAAAGATAATTTTAGATAAGGTTAGTGGTATGGTTATGGGTTAACGAGTAGACATTTAGACACCAGGTGGCTAGAGGTTTGTGTTACAGGATTTTTGATTAATAGTGTGTACATGCAGAGTACCCTAGATATTGAGGTAAAAATAAAGAAAATTGCTACATGCCTAAGAGAGTAGTAACCTCCCTTATTTCTCTGACATTTCAGATGCAAGCTTATACTCTGTGATGCCCACCACATGACACATACTTCACACAACACTGGGCTCATGTGATCCTCCTGCCTTGGCCTCCCAAAGTGCTAGGATTATAGGTCTCAGCTACCAGTCCAAGGGAAATTTAGCCTTCTCTGGCCTGAATGTCTTCCTTTCTCTGAACTGGCAACTCTACTGTCAGTAGACTAGGAATAGAATATTATAATACCAGCCCCCACCAGAAGAGAAGGCTGGTATCCCAGGATGTGGTATTTCCCTACCAAAGGGACTTTAAAGTCCAGATGGACCAAACATTGACACCAAACATTGAGGTCTTCCCTCTTTTTTTTTTTGAGACAGAGTTTCACTTTGTTGCCCTTGGTAGAGTGCCATGGCATCACAGCTCACAGCAACCTCCAGCTCTTGGGCTTAGGCGATTCTCTTGCCTCAGCCTCCCGAGTAGCTGGGACTACAGGCGCCCGCCACAATGCCCAGCTATTTTTTGGTTGCAGTTTGGCCAGGGCTGGGTTTGAACCCACTACCCTCTGTATATGGGGCTGGTGCCCTACTCACTGAGCCAGAGGCACCACCCCACATTAAGGTCTTTCAAATGTAGAACCCTCTGATTCAAAGTAAGGCAGGGAGAGGATCCAATACTACAGGGATTTCACTTCCTTTGTCAAGTAACCAGTGAAGAACTGAATTTTCACAACATACCAAATGAAGGAGCCCAGTACTTAATCCATCACAGGTGGTGATTACCTGAGCTCGCTCTCGCCTCCAATCCACTCGGGCATCTTGAGTTTGGAGTCGAGGTTATAGTAGGCCCCTCCTACCTCTCGAACACAGATCCAGTGCTGCCTTTTGAGAGGTAACTTCAGTGGACCCCAGCATAGGCTGGAGGGCAGATTCATGATAAAGCCCATGACGTTAGTGAGAGCAATGACACTGACATCCCTGCAGAAGAGAAATGGTGTTGGGCTCTAAGGCAGCCAACTTCCTAAGGTTCCTTGGCCATAATATCACAACCTGCCCACTCATGCCATGAGCCCCCATACTAAAGGCTTACACCACAATCATCCTGTTCTCCACCAAGTCAAGCCTGATTCAGATTACCTGCGCTTGTCCCACCAAACAGCTTCGTAGCCTTTGGTTTGAAGTGCTGCCATAATGACATTCACATCATAGTTTCCATTTCCCAGCATGCTCTTTTTGTGAGGTGTCACCATGGTGTTTGGAGACAGCCTACAAATGTGAAAAGAGAAAGCTGAGATTTTTGAGTCAGCCTAACCCATGCTGGCCCTCTACCACCAGGCACAGGGCAGCACTTTCCATCATTGCTCTTGGAAGCTAGTTTCCTCCCATTCAAATGCAATTTCATCAGTTTCTATGCAAGTATTTTGTAAATGTTCCAGGAAGGCATTCCACTTATGAAATCCTCAGTCTACTGCAGGCTTCTTTTTATTGCTGATCTTCCTGCTTTGATAACAAGCCTTTCCCCCTTTTTTTCCACACTGTCCCTAGAGCAAGAAGAGCCTTAAACACTGGAAAATAGTATTTGATATTTTCATAAAGGCTGCACACCTGGTAATCATTAAACGCTCAAAGGCATAAAGGGGACCAGGGTGGGGCTGGATGTAAGGCAACAAAAAGTCGTAAGAATGTGTGACCCACCTGAAGGCATTCCATGTGTGTGTAGGTACTTGAATACAATTTTTAAAAAGTTAAAACATACACAATAAACCAAATACACAGAGAATTTCTGTGCCAGACAGACAACATTAAGTTGCAGTCCCAATTTGCCTACCTGGCTTTAAGCCATTTTTTTTGCCAGGTCTCTTTAGCCACTCTATTTCAAGAAAAAGTCCATGCTGAAGGCACTTCCAATCCTATTGTTTTCATAGGCTTATCAGGCTAGGAGCTGAGGAACAGCCATTTGAAAGGAAGGGTCAGCATGCCTTTGACTTCAGATGAAAGGGAAGAAGGGAAATATGGTCAATTCCTTGAGGCAAAAAGCTATGTACAGGAGGCTGCTAAATGCCACCTCTAGAAGAGAATCAAAACTTCAGGGTAGGCATGCCTGTAATTCCAGTACTCTGGGAGGCCAAAGTGGGTAGAGGTAGGTAGATGGCTTGAGCTCACAAGTTCAAGACCAGCAAGAGTGAGACCAGGTCTATAAAAAACTAGCCAGACGTTGTGGCAGGTGCCTGTAGTCTCAGCTACTCCAAAGGCTGAGGCAAGAGGATCACCTGAGCCCAAGAGTTTGAGGTTGCTGTAAGCTATGATACCTCGGCACTTCCAACGGGGTCACACAGTGAGACGCTGTCTCAATTTAAAAAAAAAAAAAAAAGACTTTAGCACAAGATGTGAATTCTAAAAGCTTAAAGTAATCTTACTAAGTTTTGCTTATCTATACACAGCAACCATACTCCTATTTTTCTTCTTTTTGGGGGGACAGAGTCTCAAGCTGTCACCCTGGGTAGAGGGCCGTGGCCTCACAGCAACCTCAACTCTTGGGCTTCAGCGATTCTCTTGCCTCAGCCTCTGCAGTAGCTGGGACTACAGGTGCCCACCACAAAGCCTGGCTTTTTTTGGCTGCAGTTGTCATTGTTGTTTGGCAGGCCCAGGCTGGATTCGAACCTACCAGCTCTGATATATGTGGCTGGCACCCTAGCCGCTGAGCTACAGACACTGAGCCGCAATACTCCTATTTTTCATACATAAACATACTCCACCCACTACTTAAAACCCTCTAATCTCTCCCTAAGCACTTAAATACACTCTCAACTACTTCCTCTGGCCTGCTGTCTGGAATATTCTTCTGTATATCTTCATTTGGTTTATTCCTTATTATTTGGATTTCAAATGTTATTGCCAGAGGCCTTTTTTGACTACCCAACATTAAGTTTCTTCTAGTCACTTCCTCTTGTATCAAAACCTGCTTTCACTAATTATAGCCCCTTGTCACTACCAGGCATGATTTCTCAGTCTGTTTTCTCCATTAGACTGACAGCAGAGGCCTTAACTACCCTGTTAACACTACATTGCTGGGGTCCTGAAGAGTGCCTAGCACTTGACAACTGGTCAAGGAAATGTTTGCTGAAATGTTTCCATGTTTATTTTTGTTATCCTGTCTCTTTATCTATAAATATTAGTAGCAATTTCTTAAATTAAAAAGGCTTACATTATTATCTCTGGGGCCAGCAAAGAAATCTACCAAATTTTATAATAACTACCATTTATTGAAAACCACTGTATGATGGATGCTTTAATAAGTATTTCATTTAATTCTCATAATAAACCTGTGAGAATATAAATTATTTTTACTTTATAGGTCAAAAAAACTTGAGGTTTCGTGATTTTTTGGCTGGAGCTGGGTTTGAACCCGCCACCTCCGGCATATGGGGCCGGGGCCCTACTCCTTTGAGCCACAGGCGCCGCCTGAGGTTTAGTGATTTTAACTGACCTGCCCTTGAGCACTTACAAATGACAGAAGTAGGATTCAAACTTAGGTTCATTTGAATCCAGTTATATTGTCTTATAGGGAGGATCTAAGAATCAGAGTGGAAGCTGGTGGCAGGGAAAGAAGAAGAAAGAACAGCTGAATCCGGCTCGGCGCCTGTGGCTCAAGCGGCTAAGGCGCCAGCCACATACTGTGAGCATGATGCCATGGCACTCTACCCAGGGCGATAGCTTGAGGCTCCGTCTCAAAAAAAAAAAAAAAAGAACAGCTGAATCCCCAAAGCCTAGGGTTCAAACATAACAGGGCAAAGGCTCTCCATGGGTCCCTGGGTACTTGGATTAAATAAGCACATGAAAGAAGGCATATATAGTTGATTCCTTTCCCTTCACCAATTTGTCAGTAGCCTCTCGTTATTTTCAGAAGTCTCTGACCAGTATTAAGAATGAAGGCTTCAACAAAGAAAATACTGAGCCTTCCACCTTTGTCACCATCTAACTCCTGCCAGGCTGAAACCTTAGAGTGGCACTTTTCCAAGGGTGTTCCTGGAGATACCAGTCCATGCTCACTGACAGCACCTTGAAAGGCATCCATCACAGTATTGGCTGAACGAACCAAGTAGGTAAGGACTTCACTGTAATCTCCAGAAAAGGGGGGTTATACACTATGCTTCAGTCTCCAAATACATCTGACCACACATTTGTTTCAAGGGGCTTCTTTCATGATTAGTGTTCCAAAGATCTCTCTTCCTTGCCCTTCATCTTCTCAGATTCAAATCCTTTCCTGTCTATTCTTACCACCTTTCCCCTCATTGGAGGCCCCTCACCTAACACTTGGACTTTTGAAACAGGTTCCTAAATTGATCTTCTTGCTTCCAAATTCTCCTTCTAACATTTCAGCCTTTAAGTTCCTGCTGTATTCACCAAGGCATTACTTTACTCATCTTCATATAGGAACTGAAAATAGAGCCAACTGCCTAGCTGGCCAACTCTTAAACCTTCCAGCTCAATGGTATGTTAGGTATCAGGACCATGTGGAGTCTATTCTTTCATCCTATTTCCTGTTGCAACCCAAATCCTACAGCTTTCTTGAGCTCAATCTCATACCCTATCTCTTTCATGAAATATTTCCTGGCTCCTCTGTGAGAAAGGCGATTACTGGGGAGATCACACATATCTGGATTCATATCCAAGCACCATCAACACTAATTGTAAGACTTAAATTTCCTTGCCTGTTACTTTATCTTAAAAATGGGAAAGATTCTTATTTTATAGGACCCTTGAAGAACTGTTATTTTGTACATGTCCAATGAAACAGTAAGTCCCTAACGCAAAGGAGAGATGGCTCATGTACGGTGTCCCTCACATGTAGGCACTGGCAACTCAACAAACGTGTGTTGGCCAAGCCAATCAAGATACGAAACACTCAGAATGGCTTCCATCAATCCTAGGATGGTCTTTTGAATAAGTGGGGCTCATTCAGTATGCCCACCACACCAGTACTTGCTTACTTAAACAAGAACAAAGTGCCCACTGTATTAGCTGCTTTCATGGGCTTTATCACTAAATCCGTCCACCAATCTTGAGATATCATAAATAAGGAAGCTTAGGAGCAAAGGTTACAGTGACTTGCAGTCAGGTACAGCAGGGGTGTGGCAAAGCTAGGATTCAACCTCTAAAGCTAAGACAATCCCGAATAGTTCTCTGGCTATTTCGGCACACTGGTCCCACTGAGCTCCAAGGTCCTGTTCCAAATCCAAAGGAGAGATGTCCTGAGACCCCTTGGCAAACTCCTGCTCAGGACTGTCTTAATGATTTCCACAGATATTCTGGGCTCTAAAGTGACCTTCTCATTACAGCCAGAGGTCAGACCCATGAGATATGAAGTGATAATGAATGTGAAATGATGGGCTCTATTTCAGGTCTCCACTATTATCTATGCCTTCATCTAAGTCCCTGGTCCTCTCTCAGTTACCCCTGGATCTGACTATGGTGATGGTTTTGAATTTTAAAGAAGAGGGAGATATTTCATCAAGTTTCTCTTTCTCCCCTAATTATTTTTCCTTTTTATGGAGTCTGAAGAGATGTGACATTAGAAAATATGGTTCAGAACTTCCTATTTCTACATAAAGAATGAATTGGCTTGGCACCCGTAGTTTAGTGGTTAGGGTACCAGCCACATACATCAAGACTGGGGGGGCTCGGCACCTATAGCTCAACCGGCTAAGGCGCCAGCCACGTACACCTAGAGTGGCGGGTTCGAATCCCCAGCCCGAACCCGCCAAACAACAATGACGGCTGCAACCAAAAAATAGCCAGGCGTTGTGGCGGGCGCCTGTGGTCCCAGCTACTTGGGAGGCTGAGGCAGGAGACTCGCTTGAGCCCAGGAGTTGGAGGTTGCTGTGAGCTGTAACGCCATGGCACTCTACCCAGGGGGACAGCTTGAGGCTCTGTCTCAAAAAAAAAAAAAAAAAAAGACTGGGGGGTTTGAACCCAGCCTGGGGCTGCTAAACAACAATGACAACTGCAACAACAATAATAGCTGGACATTGTGGTGGCTGCCTTAGGAGGCCAAGGCAAGAGAATCGAATAAGCCCAAGAGTTTGAGGTTGCTGTGAGCTGTGATGCCGTAGCCCTCGTTAGAGGGCTACAAAGTGAGCCTCTGTCTCAAAAAAAAAGTGATCACAGGGCCAGGCACAGAGAAGTACTCTGTAGGTGTTAGCTATTATTATGTGCTTGCCTGGCCCTTGGACAAGATAATTCAATGCTCTAGAGCAGTGTTTTTCAACCTTTTTTATCTCATGGCACACTTGAACCTTTAAGTTAAACTTCCATGGCACACTTAATTATGTTGATCAACAAAACAGAATATACTTACTGTGCTTTGAACTTCTTTCGAAAGTAATTTAGCTAATGATCTTTAAAATTTTTTGCAGCACACCTAAGATCCTCTCATGGTACAAAAGGGAGCTATAGCACTTTGGTTGAAAATCAATACTCTAAGGTTAATACTCAACACCTTTTCTCAATTTATAATCACCGTCTTTTAAATGTGGCCCCTTCCAGAAGCTCAGGGACCATACCATGGAAGAGGGTAGAATATTTATCCTCTGATAAGAGAATGCTGGTTGTTCACCAATATCTCTAATCTTTTTGTCTCTTCCAACTTTCATTTTTTTCCCTGGTTAAAAAGCTAGTTTTCATCTAGTTAGATTTTAATAGCTATTCTATTTGGGATAGGAATGCATAGCAAGAATATCTGATCAGGCGTGGCGCCTGTGGCTCAAGCGGCTAAGGTACCAGCCACAGACAACTAAGCTGGCAGGTTCGAATCCAGTCCTGGCCCACCAAACAACAACAATGGCTGCAACCAAAAAATAGCCAGGCGTTATGACGGGTGCCTGTAGTCCCAGCTACTTGGGAGGCTGAGGCAGGAGACTCGCTTGAGTTAGAGGTTGCTGTGAATTGTGATGCCACGGCACTCTGTCCAGGGCGATAGCTTGAAGCCCTGTCTCAAAATAAAAAAAAGAATATCTGATCACTGCAAAATTGGCCATCAGTCTAGTTAAAAGGTTTCAGGTGTCAACATATTCAAAACAATCTAGGAAAGCTGTTACTGTATCATTTGACTTCCACCTCCCTTTTTACCAAAGCTTAAACATATGATAAAATGTATGAGGTCAAATATCCACATCTACATACATAAACACTAGTGACACTTATCCAATTTCTCTAACCATTTCTCCACAGTTTCATAGACTGAAATGGATCCTTTTCAAACACATGACCTTTTTGCAGATGTTACCACTATATTTTAATTCTGGACCCAGCCTCTGTCCCAACTGACTCCTCTCTTCCTGTCCTTGCTGCTGAATTGTTAGCTTAGCTCTTTCTAAATTCCTATTCATTTCCATTGCACACATGAATCATCTCATATCCATAACTCTACTAAAGCTCCACCCTGCTTCTGTATTTCTCTTATCTGGCTAACATTCAACTGTTAGGACAAACTTCCTCTCAAACAGCACTTACCAACATTTCTATCTCATTTCTACCATTCCTTAGCCATATCTTCAAAACAGTATAAAACTCTTTCCACTAAGATCAAATCATCCTCTTCACTTTTATTTATTTTTCAGACAGAGTCTCACTCTGCCCTGGCATCAAAGCTCACAAAAACCTTAAACTCTTGGGCTCAGGAGATCCTATTGCCTCAGTCTCCCAAGTGAACTGGGACTACAGGAACTGGCCACAATACCTGGATATTTTTAGAAAGGAGGTCTCGCTCTTGCTCAGACTGGTCTTGAACTCCTGAGCTCAAGCAATCCACCTGCCTCAGCCTCCCAGAGTATTGGGATTATAGGCATGAGTCACCATGCCTGGGCATCTGTTCACTTTTAAACTGCTCTGAATGCCATGGTTTAACCTCACTTAAATCTGTTCTCAAGGACTATGTTAAACTACAGCTCTGAGCTGTGCTGTTCAGGGGCTGTGGCCTGTTCAACTTGTTTTCTCTATGGTGCCTGGCAATGCCTGGCACTCTGCAGGAAGCTAGTCAATGTTTGTTTAAAAAATTCCATCTTCTCTCCCTTTGCTTTTTTCCTCTGGATTCCTTTCAATCTTTTTTTTTTTTTGGTTGCAGCCATCATTGTTGTTTGGCGGGCCCAGGCTGGATTCGAACCCACCAGCTCAGGTGTATGTGGCTGGTGCTTTAGCCGCTTAAGCCACAGGCGCCGAGCCTTTTTTTTTTTAAACGAGTCTCACTTTGTCACCCACGGTACAGTGCCCTGGTATCAGAGCTCACAACAACCTTCATCTCTTGGGTTCAAGCGATTCCCTTGCCTCAGCCCTCCAAGGAGCTGGGACTACAAGGGCTGGCCACAACGCCCAGCTATTTTTTAAAGATGGGGTCTCGCTCTTGCTCAGTTTGCTCTCGAACCTGTGAGCTCAGGGCAATCCACCTGCCTCGGCCTCCCATCTTTTTTTGTTCTGCATAAGATATACTATAGGATTCCATTTGTAGAGTGGAGACAGAGTACATTTTCTTATCAGTTTGCTTTTACTTTGAAATTGATCTTTATGGTGGGCTGATAGGGAACTGAAGAGTGCACTACAATTTGCTAAAGCTCTAAAAGGAATAGGACCTTGGTTCCATGTGGGTGTTTAGCAAATATTTAGCATTCTTTCATTTGGGAAAACACAGCTGAAAGATTCCTGCTACTATCCACAAACACTTGATGATCACAGGCCAGATCTTCAGTCCTGGCCCAACTTACTAGCAGGGGAACAGCTGCTGATGACCCAACAGCTCCAGTGAGCCTTCCCATCACTCAGGAAGCAGCAGAGCAGTTGGACAGGCAGGCCCTTGAGTCACAAAGCTAGGGGCTCTGTGAACTCTCTGTGCCGTGATTTCCTCATCTGGAAGAATGAGAAACAACAGAAGCTTCCCCATAAGATCCATGTGAGAACTAAATTAATACAAGGAAAGTACTGAGAACAGTGTTTGGCACAAAGTGTTCGTGTGTGTTAGTGATCTCATCATGATTATGCCCAGGGGCCAGATTTATTTAAGTGAAAACTTTTCTGAGTGTGACTGGATACACAGAATCTTCCATCAACATTTACTAGTGGGTGAAACTGGGCAAATAGCTTAAGAGGAATTCTATTTTCTTTAGATCATCATTGACAGGGTTGTTACAAGATTGTAAGTACATATTATAGAGAAGTAAGGACATTGGGTACTCACTATGTCCTTTCCTTCTCCCTAGTCTTAGATTAGGAAATGATTTGCAAATAAGAAATATTAATGGCTGGCCAAAATGAAGAGGTCTTCTGGACAGGGTACTTCTTTCCTTTCAGTCACATAACTTGATTTAAGACAAATTTCCTGAAAAGTCAACTGTATTTGCTGTCAGATAATGAGCATGGTCACAATGCAAATGACACATTTGCCCTGATAAAACATTACTCTGGTTACTACTGGGACTGGAAAATAATTACTCTCATTATAGTTTTGTTGGCATATTGGGATTAACATTCTTTTACAAGAAGGCCTATGGTTCTTTCAGGATAAATGATCCACACCTACATTTCACAAATCACCCAAATAGGTCGTTTCTAGCTAGAATTCAGATCCTGATGTGGCAATAATTTCATCTTCAAATGCAGGGAGTCAGAAAAAGGTCTTCTAGAACTACCAGTAGACACCACAGAAGCATTCTTGACCTTTCTCTTCACATGAGAGCTGAGCAAGCCTAACCCTTTCCAGTTGGGGTGCTCAAACAGACTCACTGCCTAAAATACTATGGACTAGAGATGTCCTGATGTGTCTATGTAGACACTGCAGAACACTCAAAACCTTTGATAAGAACAATCTTAGAAAATCAAAGCAAAGAGAAAAAAGCTGAACTACCAATGGGAAGGTGCCCTTTGTTTTAAGTAGATAAGGCCATCTTGAATAAAGCAGAAAGGAGAGACCTGCAGTTAGCTTCAAATCAGAGCTTTGTCATTGAGAAGCCATTTGGACATATTACCTGACCCTCTGCCTGTTTCTTCATCAGTAAAACAGTGAAATGAATGTTGACAAAGCAATGTGTAAAAAAGCACCAACGCGGGCGGCGCCTGTGGCTCAAAGGAGTAGGGCGCCAGCCCCATATACTGGAGGTGGCGGGTTCAAATTTGGCCTCAGCCAAAAACTGCAAAAAAAACCAAAAAAACCCACCAAGGCCAGCACATGGCTTCATAGAAAAGCCGAGCACTATGTATGAGCACTAGGTGACCACTAACAATTTTTCTTGTGGTACCCACCACATTCTACCTTAGATCACAGGTGACTGAATGTGTATATATCTTATCCCCATTCTAGACTGTAAACTCTGTGGTAGCAGAACTTGAGAGGCATTACAGCTTTGTGGTCAATGGCAAAGATACAAATAAGAATTCAACCCTGATTCCAACTCTTGTTTTGTCACCTTGGGCAAATTACTGAACTTAAGTCCTGTCTTTATCTGCAAAACGAAAATGACATGTATAACATGTATTCCATGGGGTTGTTGAGGTACCACAACTGAGGCTATTAGCATTGTGCTTAATCCACAGTAAGTACCCAATAAATGATAGTGATTCTTTTTCATTCCCGTGTGCCTTGGACCTGCTAACAGCATCTAGCTAATACCTGCAAGTTTGAAGGGTTTTTTTTAGCTAGACATTGCTGCCACTCCCCACCCCAATAGCATGAAGTACCAAAATACTAAGAAGTCCCCTACCTCTGAAAAATCTCTTGAAGTGCTTCCCGGGTGAAGGCATTGCTGTCCTGGAAGACGTTATTGAGGGCATGGAGGGCACAAAGCTCTCTGCGCTGTTTCTCATGGTAGATTTGTGGGGGTGCCGCCTGGGGCAGCTCCAACGATTCTGATTTGGCCTTGTCTCCTTTCCATGGCACGCAACTCATGTTTTTCGTTTTAGGTTCCAAAGAGGGCTAAAAAAAACACCCTACTCTTCCCTCCTGAGGAAGAATGTAAGCTTCTCAGTCTTTCAAAAATTCCTGAGGTCCACCTTATTCTCTGGTGTCCATAATATATGCTTTGTCACTGGGAGAAAAGGTTGGAATCAAAAGGGGGAAACATCCACCTCTTCTCTCTTCTCAATAGAAAAATAACCTTTAGCTTCGTTTACCGATATTTTGCCCACCACTAAGTGCAAAATTTCAAAAAAATCATAAAATGTAAGACCTCGTTTCCCTTTCCCCGCCCTCCCCTCCCACCCCCCTCCCAAAAAACACTATTCTCTTTACAAATGCCAACCAGGCCTCAACGCAGGGGTACTGAACGGAATCGGTCACATCGCTCCTTTTCTTCCATTTCTTTCGAACCACGACGCCACTGACTTAGGAGACAAGGCCTAGGATGGTGGTGGATACAACGCACGATCCGAGCAGCTAGCGAGGGCCAGCCAGGGTGGGATCGCGGGCGGCGCCAGGGCGTCGGGGGCAGCGCTCCATCCCCTCCGGTGCGGTAAGGCCCCACAGGGCGCGGTTCCCTCGATGGCTCGGACTCTCGCCCTCTCGCCACCGCCCTGCGGAGGAGACAACTCCCGTCAGGAGCGGCCGGGGGGCCGCGGCGGGGCGGGCCCGCGAGGAATGGGGCAGGACAATTCACCTCGCCCTCGGGGCCTGGGCCCACGCGGCCGGTCGCCCCCACCCCAACCTCCTCACCCGTCACGTGAGTGCAAGCCCAGGCGCCTGCGTGCCGCTCCCCCTACCCCAGCTCCCAGCGCCGCCGAGACGGCCTGACGACGCGCCGCTGGTCGCCCCTTACCGCCACCGGCCTCCACCAGGAGCCGAGGCCGCCACCTGGGCCGCTCTAGGGCGGGCAGGCGCGCGCGCACCTGAGCCCGACGTCAGCAGCTCTCGCCCGGCGCGTGCTCCGGAAACGCCCTCCCGCGCCGTCCCGACTCCTCCCCGTCGTGTCGTCACCCCTGACGTCAGCGGCGCCAGCTTTAGAGAGGCGCCAGTAGTGCGTCTGCTGGTAGGCGTGAGCTACCTGGGGCTGCGGAGGCTAGCTGGCCGGTGAGGAGCCGGCGTCTGGCTGCTCGCCCTTCTCCTGGGCGTTGGTGCCATTCTGGGGCGGCGACCAGGCTAGCGGCTGCCCTTCGCGGCACTCCCATCCGCTGCTTTCCCCTCCCTGGGCTCGGCTTCTGGGCTGAGCGTTGCCGCCGCTTCTACTCTGACCGTTTTGTGTTTGCTAGCGCGCCTATGGCCAGGTGATTTCAAAACCCGTTGGGCGGTCGGGCGCAAGTGCTCTTGGTTAGTGGGCCCGACCGCCCTGGACTCTGAGTTACGGGGGTGTCTCTCCCAGAGTCACATTTCAACGAAAGGAGAGTCCTGTTTCAGTTTCTTGGTGTCATACTTCAGTTCACTACGCACAAACCACTCCGTTACCCTAAAGTTCCCCACGGTGGCTTTCACAGAGCTTTCTCTGAATTTTCTCAAGATCTAAGTGTGTTGTGTGTTTCGGAAGAAGGCAAACTACTCGCAATCTCACGAGGATTTAATTTTTTCCCGTTTTAGGGCGTCTGGGTACCTTAGCTGCCCTCCTTTTAGGTTTTTGTTCGTAAAATTGGAAAAATAGAAGAAATAGTCAATTTAGTCATTTCTTTGATCCTGTTTCTCTTGACACGATTACATGCGACAGTGTTACCATTTAACAGGCCTGAATGCTTACCGCCATAGTAAGAAGTCCTGCGTCTCAGGCCAGACTTCTAAATCATTAGTATCAATCTGGCTAGCCATCCAGGTTGTGTTTTTCATATTCTCCATTTTCAATGCAACACAAAACTCAGGTAACCAAAATGTTTATATTTCTCCCCACCAGCAACCAATCAATTCTGCAGCAATCTCCTGGGTATTCTCTAAATCAATTAAATTCTGACACTTTCCACCTGGAGGTAGCATCAGCTCTTGCAGATTAAGAGCTTAGTCCACAAAACTGTGCCAACCCCCCCACTCTTGTTTCAGAAGCCAGTTGCAAGTCCTGGCATCCCAGACCAGCTATAAGTTGGGATTCTCATGAACCTCCCGCCCCTCCTTGGTTTGATTAATTTTCTTTTCTTTTCTTTTCTTTTTTTTTT